TTCTTTATTCAAAGGCCGGCCAGAAGCAAAACAGCATCAAAAAAAGAAATGGAAAAACTATGCCCTTACCTCATAGCCTCACCAATTAAAAATTTGCAGTGTCTGATTAAAATAAATTCTCAGCATTTTAAACAGGTCTCATCGTACCCTCAGCAAAGACATTTCCTGCTAAATTTCAAACTTGGGTACAGTACAGGAACTGAAGAAAAAAATTGCCCTTCATGATTTTATAAATGTTTGTCATCAGCCATATAGACAGCCGTTTCCTAATGATGCCAGATGAGTTTGCGTCCATTGACTTTTCTCACACTGATGTGTTTCTATTAGTGCAAGCTTCTGTGTCATATTAAAAAAAATAGTGCAAGCTTCTGTGTTTTAAGTCTTGGCCATAAAGCAACTGGGAAGGAGGGGTTTTGAATGCAGAAATAGCACAAGGTAAAGTTGCCGACTCTGGGTTGCGAAATTCTTGGAGATTTGGAGGTGGAGCCTTGGGAGGGTAGCGTTGGGGTAGGGTAGGGGTCTCAGCAGAGCATAATGCCAGACAGTCCACCCTCTAAACCAATGCTCCCTCTAAGCTGTGGAGTCTTGTGAGCAAAAACCTCTACTTTGTGAGCGACCGGTATTAAAGCTGTGAGTGAGCAATTTGCCTACTGCATAAATGAGTTTGCTTTGGAGCCATCCTTCCTGAGCTAAGACAAAAATGTGTGAGCTGGAGGCTAAAAAACTGAGCTAGCTCACACTAACTCAGCTTAGAGAGAACACAGCTTCAAACCAACATTTGTTCCCCAGGGGAACTGATCTCTATATTCTGGACAGCAGGTGTAATGCTAGGAAATCTCCAGGTCACACATAGAGGTTGGCAACCCCTTTACAATGGGGGAAGGTCTCTCTGAACCACTCTACACGACGTCTATTGCATCTCATGGCTGCTTTTTATTTCATTTTATTTAAATGCTGATAGTATTGGGTTAACTGGTATAGTTAGTCCCGTTACCACTGGCTAGTTTAGCAGAGTGCTTTGAGGCACACACGCAGCAGTATCTTTTTTTCCAGGTCTCCCAGATACTTACAAAGTTACACAGAGCCACTTATCAGACTAATAATAGGCTCTTTATTTGGGAACTACATTCTAGATAGGAAAGCATAGAGATAGGATAGCATTCTAGTCTAACTTACGAAGGATGGATGCAGATAGTGAGAAAGCCGCCTGCATCATGGTGCCAAGACGGGGACAGTGTGTCCTCCCTCTTGGTGTGGGCAAGGAGAAGTGTGTTGTGGGAGAGGATGAACGGAAGGAAGAGAAGCAATTTCCCTGAGATTAGCATTTGTCATATCAAAGGGACAGTGGCAGAAGAGTAAACACAGGGAGAAAGCGTAGTCTGACTATCTAGCTATCTGCCTCTCAGTCTGGACTGGAGGCTGAGGCGGGGGACAGGGACCAGTCCTTCACTTCCAACAGGTGGGAATCCAGGAGTGACCGTCCACAGCTGAATCCTGTGCACAATTAGGCTGCATAAATGCAATTATAGCCAACAAGAGGGGGACCCGCGATACTCGCGGGGGGGGGAGAAGAGCTCCGTCTCCTCCATCCCCCCCAATCTCCCCCAGGCGGCGGCGGCGAGGCCGGTTCCCCCCCGCCCGCCCGCCTGGCTCCGAGGAGGAGGCGGCGGCGTGGTGGCGGCGAGGCCAGCTACAGAGCGTTCCCTGCGCATGCGCAGGGGACGCTCTGTCACTTTCGGGGGGATTTAAACATCCCCCCGAATTTTTTTCAACTTTTTCGATTTTTGTGCACACGTGGGGACTGGCCCACGTGTGCACAAACCTCCCCCTCCCCCCCAAGTGCCCCCGGAGTGCTGATTTAGCGATCCGCACTCAGGGGGCAACTTGGCTATTAGATATATAGATGGGTTGGATCCAACCGACTCTTCTATTGGTGAAAAGGGGAGGAGGGCCCTAACTCAATAAGGTTATGCTGAGGATCACAGAATGTGCACGTAACAAAATCATGTGGGACGGGGACTGTAGTGTGTGAGTGTGCGGGAACTGGGGAAGATAGAATGAAAAAGCTGGCTAGATTCAGCCAAACGTCCCCTGACACTGGGGGGCGTGGAATTAGAAGTGGAAGAAGGGTGGGTGGGTGCAGAGGAAGAACTGCTTAACTCTTTCTCTGCCAGTTGTCTTTCCTCATAAAATCACCCCTCTCAAGGTACTAGTCTTCTCACAGAGGAAAAGTTAAGGGAACTTGTATCTTTTACACCAGGGACAAAAAAAACACAACACCAGCTGGGAGAATAATTGTGAGCAGAAAAATGGTCTCCATGTCAAACTCACACAAACACAAAAAGAGAATTGTCCTCTGTTCCATTCAGAATCACATCCTCTAGTCATCGTTCAGAAGAAAAGTTGGGAAATATGTCATTTAGCCCTAAATGGGAGCAGGACTGCATGTCGTGTCTGCAGATTGACTAGGCTGGGTATGTAGCTCACTGCTATATGGGGACAAGGAAGGAGGCCCCCTCCTCCACTGGAAACATCTGTATCTGAACTGCAAGTATCATTCCTCATTGACGTAGCAGGCATCAGGTTCTCCACATCTCCCTGGGACCCTGGACATCCATCTTCATTACAAATGACTATTTATCCTAATGATCTTGTAACATTCCTGTTGCTTCCCCTTATAGCCAAAGACAGCCGTAGCTATACTCCAGGCTTTCCCAAACCCTGCCATTGATTAACTAGCAAACAGTGAAGAAAGCACACTCTTTTATCATCATCATCATTATTATTATTACGCTTTTAGAAATATGCTGCCGGCATAGAAATGTTCACATTTGCCTGTTTTGCATTTGGTTCATCGAGCGACAACATGGCAAATATACCTCATTTTCTACACTGACTAAGCCAATTCTAACAGCTTTTGTATGTCGCAGAGCAGCAAGGAGGAAAAAATATTGAACTCAAAGAAACACTGCAAAAGGCCAGCAGTATAATACATAATATGCATTATTATCTGTCAGGTCTTTTATTTAAACCCATGTAATTTTTAAAAGACGGCAATACATTCTTGGGCAGTAAAGTGCTATAAATAAAATAAATATTATGTTGAAGTTTAAAATTAATTCTATACAGAACACTTGCTGAAGGTCAAGTATCACGGCAGCCTCGCTTTTATTTAATGGCCTGTTGTCGAGATAGATGGGCGGATGCATGTGTGTGGGCAGTGGGTCTGCATACTGCAGAGAAACCCGTGGGGTTGCCTATGAACTGGCAGTGGAGGTGGAGCCACCCAGTATCAGAGGTGGTGGGCAAGTTTTCACACCTTCACAAAGTTGTCCTCGAAGGTGGTGTTTTTATTTTTCCCTATGGCACCGAATGGCTGATGCACTTTGGAAAAGTAGGATGTACTTGGGGACAGCATTAAGTTGCAGGATAAAACTGCTCTGTTTCTGGTGACCCCAGTGTATGGGACCCAGTGTTGCAGTTGTATTCCTGACTTCAACCAGACCCACAGAATTGGTGGGAGAGAGGCTGTGGCTAAAATATTCTGGGATCTCAACCCTTCCCCTCCCCCCCCCGGTCTCTTCCATGCTTCTGATAAAGATTGGGCTGGTTTCTACAGGTTAGATCAGGAGATGGCTGTCACAAAGGATCACTGGACATGACTGCACACCTTTACCAAGAAAAATAAGATGGCTGCAGTGGAAGCAAGAGATATCTCAGTTGTCACTGTGCAAGCACATTGCAGCTGGCAGCTAAGTAGTACCTGGTGCAGATAGGGTCTCCTCGTACCACTAAAGTCTGTTAATCAGTCAGCAGCCACGTGCTTGAACGACACTGACTGAGGGCCACCTGCATCTACTGCCTCCTCCTTCCAATGCAATTACATTGGCAAGTTAAACTAGCAGGGGTCTGGCAGGGGGTGGATTAGGATGATGCATCGCTCTTCTTCTTGACTGTGTGGAAGGCCTATCGTGTTTAGTTATATCTTCTTTCCATGTAAACCCAGCATTCATCAATGAAAAGCAAACTAGAATGTAAAGAAATTAACCACCTCTCCACCTTATCGCCATATAGTGATGGTCAGTGGTTTCCACCAGAGAACCCTTCTCACTGGCTGGGGCTAAATCCTAATACATTTTATTGATTTTATTTCACCTACTCTTAGCATCCTTAATTTGAGTGTCTACCACTGAGTTATGAAATGAATTAGTCTTACATGCCTCTTTCATTTTTTATGACTTCTGTTTAGTTTTCACCCAACAGGGTCACAGTTCTGAAGGTAAAAATTATTCCCAGTTCATTTAGAGTGTGGTGGGTGTGAGTTCTCATATGCAGCTTGGCACAAATTAATTTCAGAGTATGCCCTCTTACTGGTAGAGTGGAAGTCAGCAGTTCAGAGCAGATAATAGGCACCCCAAGTGGGTACATAGTGGTGATCTTTCTGACCCAAGTTATCTTTGCAGAAAGCAATTTATGTTTTTCTGAGCTCCCTGGGAATTAGTTACACTTTTACAGCAAAACCCAAGAGTTTAGCTCCTAATCAAACCTCTTCTTTACATCCAGTATAATAATGACTAGTTCTTATTGCCTTCCATTTACCACCAGATAACCCGTGTAGCTTACATTATTTGGGTTGCTTTTTTGTGGCCATCAGGAACAATATTCTGAAGTTGGTCTACAGCTGTGTGAGTGTGATCTTCAGTCCAATGGGCTAATTTACTTTTATAAATTAAACTAGCAGGATATGGCAGTGGGTGGATTAAGCCAGTGCATTACTCTACCACGTGCTTGTGTGAAAGTTCGATCATGGACTGGTTATATGCCTTCTTCCTGTGTGAATCCAGGCTGAATCAATGAAAAGCAAGCTGTAGTATAGAAAACTTATTACTTACAATACAACAAACTTGCTAACTATGTCTTTAATTGATTGTTTGAATATGCACTGCAAAGACGGCTAGTACATTAGGAAAACGATTTAATGCGAAATATGGATATCTTACATTAGCAGAGGCATTGCTGGTTTCAATTTTAGTCACGGCTGCCTGATACAAGGCCATCCTTTCCTTCAGGGAGACGAGGTCCTGGCACTCCAGGGGCACCTTATCACTCTGGTTAGTCCTTCTTTTTGAATGTCCACTTGCAGATTTTTGACAGCTAGCAGAAGCTAAAAAATGAGAACAAAGGGACATAAGCAAATGGACCTTCTTTAGGAAAGTCAACTGTACCTACTGCAAATAAGCAAAATTAGTATTTTCTAATGTTTTCCTACATACTGTTCGGGGTTATGTTGCATCCATGCAGCATGGCTGCTGTTGCACATAGTTTGTTACTGTCACATCTCTGAGTCAGGTGCAGAACATCTAAGTCTTTTCCCCATGCAAATCAATTATCAACAGATAATCTGATTTCAGGATCAGAGAGTAGAAAACAGGAAATTGGTGGCAAATGAAACTGGACTGAAGGAGAGGAAAAATCTAGGGATGTGCAAGGAATCAAATATTTCAAAAAGTCTGGACATTAAAAAACAACAACAGGAATACAGTAAGCTCCACCTCTAAGAGGCAGCCATGCTGAGGTATATCCTACCCACATTCTGCTTAGAGATGCTGCGAATTTCTCAGTGAACCTGTTCGGCAAATGAACTTATCCTTTTCAACAGACCATGGGCTGATCAGGGATATGTTTGGATGGCATGGAGCAGCTCCAACAGCCGCCTACTTCCAGCTGACTGGGCCATAAGTTGGGAGTCTGTCCTTATCTACCCCACCTCTCAGCAAGTTATCTACACAGTGAACTTGCAAAAAGGAGCTCTTTCCTCCCCTCCAAGCTGGATGGGGACAGAAGCAATGCTTTTAATGGATGCATTGCAAAAGGGAAGGTGGGAGGAGCGAGCTCTTCTCCTTTTTTCTGATGTCCAAGCCAACAGCTTGGGGTAGGGAGAAGAGAAGGGAAGCCAACTGGGCTTCCGAGCTGGGGCCCCATTTGCCGCACCTCAGCAAGTCTGAGAGACAGCGAAGTTTCTAGGATGGGAGATCGGCTCGAGGTTGCCTCCTGATTCCCCCCAGCTTTGCTGGGTACAGAGCAAAGCAGGAGGTAAAAAGCTGACTCCCAGAGGATCCCTCATCATCTGGGAGTTAGCTTATGATGTAGCCTGCTCCTGGTAATACACAAACAGGTTGCAAACAGCCTGTTATGAGTCAGCCAGGACTCAGGAATAGCAAGGGCTCCTCAGGAGAAGAGGAGCCCCGTGTAGCCAGCCTTGAGTTAACAGAAGCTCATCAGCAGGGAGATGAGCTGCAGGCTTGTCAGGATTCAGTCAACAGCTGTTGCAGAGCCACCAACACCCTACAGCCCTGATGCAGCAGGTGAACCTCAACTGGCCATTCCCAGCCCACCAGTTATTACCTACACCCTTAGAGTGCCGCAGACGGAGGCTGAGAACAGAGCTACAGACAAGGCAGCAAAGTGCACACCTGATACCAGCTGCTTGCTGATAATGAAGATGAGTAGTTGCAGGATTGCATCTGAGCAACTGATTTCAAGCATGACCCTTAGGCATGGGGCTATAAAAACAATACAGCATGTATAGTAGACACTAAGCCACTGACTCTGCCTTGCCTGACTTCTGGATCTCTTACCATGGACCGAATGACCCTGCCTTGCCTGACTTCTGGCACCTGATACTTGGAGCCTGCAAGCCAGTACACAGCCAAACAGCCCATTGTTTAAATAGCTACCTGATCACCAGTGGTGAATGGGAAGTGAGCTGAACTGGCAGGTGTCTCAGCATCCGTCATTCTGCCACTCCACTGAGCAAAGTTTGAAGCCTTCATCCAGCCTAAGGAGACTTCCTCCAACTGGAAGAAAAGTGGAAGGAGGCTCCTTAGGCTGGAGGAAGGCTCTTTGGAGGATGGTTGGATCCACCCTATTAGGTGATTGACTGATCTGTATGTATATATTTTGCAGATGTAGGCCAACAAGGTGAGAATTGCCAACCCACTACAAGATCCAGATCTGTAACTCCGTGCTGCCTTGCTCCTACATGTTCCACAAACGTCAATGGTTATAACTAAGGTAGGTGAGCTCAGATTGGCACAATATAATAAATGCACATTACAAAACAGTAGGACACATGCTACCTTTCTACCTATCCATGCTCCCATAAGCTGTCTTGAGATATATATGAGTGGAATTTATGCTATGTTTATTGTATTGTTTACTAATTCTGTAGTCCCGCGTTACTGCATTGTTTATTGCATGTAATATAATATTTTGCTGCCCTGTTCTCCGGTCATGCAGCTTCTGCTTTATTGTCTGTATTATTTTGCATTTTTAATGCAATGTTGTCTAATGTTTATGGTCACTTGGGAGTAATTCTTGGGTGCACACTTTTTACTGCCTTGTTTTTAGTTGTAATGCACCTCGAGTCTTAGTGAGACAGGCGGTCTATAAATAAAGTAAGTAAATAATGTGTTGCTGTCCATAAAGCACTCATTTACTACTGTTTTGCATGCACTACTGTGATTAAAAAAAACCCTTAGCAACTGTTAATTATTTTAATCTCCCTCTGAAACATTACAAAATACAGTCTCGGTGTATGTCCAGAGGTTTCTGCAGTAATTTCACAAAACTGCTTGTAAAAATGCAAAACATCCATTGTTTCCTCTATTAACCTTACAGCCAGGTCAGCAGTTTCCATTGCAAACAGCAATGAATGAAATTATTCCTGTCAAATATGAGCCTTTCCTTGTCATGATATACTTTCTTTATTTGCAGCTTCACTTCACCATTTTTAACCTCTTAGCTGAACTGTCCTTCTACCCAACAGCAAGAGAAACATCTGCATCTGTATATTTTAACACAAACCAGCTTCTTCTCCATTATACCTGTGCTCAGTAATTCAATCCAAATGTTTAACAGTGGTTAAAACTATTCAGCTGAAGCAAGAAGTGAGGGGGGGGGGCGATGACACAGAACCAAAATCTTAAACCAAGTTCAGAATTTAAGAGATTTCTTATGCAACACAAAAAACAGACTCCAGATTACATGCAACTTCCACTCCTTTTTCTATAAAGCTCGCAGATGAGAAGGTCATAGTGATTTGTACTCAGTATTAATTTGCTTTAAATCCTTTCGTTTCATGTGTTGTTTGTTCATTTGGCTTTGATCACAGTAGTCAGCGTGAGGCTGGGAAATTGTTGGTCTCGCTGCGATTTATGACATTCATTGGTTTACCGGGAGCCCAACCGTGTTTTTGGCATCTCTTAACCCACACTTTTTTTTAAAAGTTATGAATCACACAGCTTTCATTTAGTACAAAACAAGTTTGTTAATCTCAGAGCTACATACAGTCAATAAAGTACTCGGAATTTTAAGTACCCTGACTTCCGAGAGCGTGCTTCTGAGGCGGCTCCCACAGGCCGTTTCACCTCAGGAAAATGGCGTGGCAGATGGCAGGCTTAAACTCCCTATTCTGACTTGCCACAGTCCTGTTCCAAATTGGGACCCATACATGCCTAGGTATTAAATTCTGATCATGGAACAGGATTAGGGTGGACATATAGGGAACATGAGGATTCCATAAGGTATAGTAGGTCTTTCATCTCTGCCCACCCCTCCTCCATGTGGGCTGCACCTTCTGGCAACATTCCACAATAAGTGGAATTTTTTGTAGAAAAAGTCCAGCAGGAACTCATTAGCATAATAGGCCACACCCAGCAGCAACTCATTAGCATATTAGGCCACACCCCTGACTGCATCACTCATTGGCATATTAGGCTGCATTCCCATGTTACCAGAAGTGTGGCCATCCAGCCACACCCACCTTTTGCTTCTTATTCTGTTTACCTTGTTTGTTGTCTGTCAAAACCCAGGGCTTTTTTTGTCACAGGAACTCCTTTGCATGTTAGGCCACACACCCCTAATGTAGCCAATTCTAATGAGTTCCTGCTGTTGGGCGTGGCCTGTTATGCTAATGAGTTCCTGCTGGGTGTGGCCAACTTGGGAGCTAGCCGGAACTCCGTTCCTGTGTGTTCCTGCCCAAAAATAGCCCTGAACTTAGCACCCTTTCCAAAACTTGTGTAAACTAAGGATCCCCCCAGTGTCGTACTGTGATTCCTGTAAGGACTGTCAGCTGAATAGGAGAACTGGATATCAATCCATTTTCCATAATACTTTTTGAGGTATTTGTTATAACTGAATATGGATTTTTTTCCCCCCTGGTCGATGTTTAACAGTATTTTTTGATGAATAGCACACAGGTCACAGTCAAAAACTTTGCTGAACTCAAGATTCATTGTTCCCGTTAAAGAATGAAGATATTGGTTTGGTATTAATTGTTAAGGGATTGGGGTGTGGGCAGTCTTTTTTCCAGATCTGGAGACAATTCTAGTTCCAGTTGAAACAAAAGCACTCTATAAGGGTAGGTATCTGAAGATGGGTTTGGGCTAGGGATGCCAGCCTCCAGGTGGGACCTGGGGATCCCTTGGAATTACAGCTTATCTCCAGTCTACAAAAATCAGTCCCCCTGGAGAAAATGGATCGTTTCGAGGGTGGACTTGATGGCATGGTACCCCTGTCCTCCCCAGGCTCCATCCCCAAATCTCCAGACGTTTCCCAACCTGGAGATGGCAACCCTACTTCCCCATCCCCTACTGGTGGCAACCCATGCTTGGGCCTCGAGCTCCGGAGAACAGCTTCTGAATCGTTTACTTATAGTAAGTCACTGAGCAACCAAACATAATTGGATTAATTCATACAGCTTTGCTTTTATGCTACCAGCCACATTGTAGCTTCCGTACTTTACAGAATGAAACAACTAATTTGTTGCTTTTTTTTTTACCTTTTTGAAAAATTACTATTTCAGCTTCTATAGTAAATGGAAACCTGAAGCCAAAGAGTTAGCTGATTGGTTTAAAATCCATACATGAAATTCAGACCCGCCGCTGCCACCTACTGCTTCTTGTCCTGCATTGCCTCCGTTGGGTTCCCAGTTCAGAATGCCACAATGACAGCTGAAGCCACAACTACAGAGTTCCCCCACTAGGGCCCTCAACTCTAGAACTAGTAACCTTGTGCTCCTTTGTGTCCCTCCTTTGCCAGCTCGCTTCCTTCCTGCCAACAGCCTCAGCTCTGCTTTGTAAGTTTTGTCTCTCTCCTACTCTC